GTTCCTTTCTGATCTAGAGCTTAGATTAAAGCTGTCCTTTGGTAAACCCTTCTCCCTCATCTCCCTCCAGCTCTTTGAAAGTGAATCTCTAATTATAGGCCATGTTTGAGATTTACTAGATGAAATCAACAGCTGTAGATATGACACTAGTGTTGCAAAAAATCGACACACTGTTGCCATAAAAAGCCCAATTGTTAATTGCTTCTTTGGCATCTGGCTATAACAGAAACACCCTTTTGCTGTTTAATACTAAAAGTAAATGTGGAAAGAGCATGAGGCTAGATTTAAAGGAGGCTACCTATCATCGAGGGCTTGTGATTTTGGGGCAAAATATTTCATTTCTCTCAGGTCTCAGTGTCCCTGTCTACAAAATTGAGGACATGAAACCAAATTATCACTTTCAGGTTAAAAATTCTATTCTGGGAGCTGGGGTTGTGGCTCAGTAGTAGAGCACTTGCCTGGCACATGTGAGGCACTGGGTTCCATTATCGACACCGCATAAAAATAAATAAATAAAATAAAGGTATTGTGTCCATCTACAACTTTAAATTTTTTGTTTGTTTGTTTCTGGATTAGTCTTTTTAAAATTTATTTATTAACTATTTTAATTAGGTATATATGATAGCAGAATGCAATTGCGGCACAACTTTTCATTTCTCTGGTTGTTAAAAACTTTTTAAAATTCCATTCTGAATCTTGAAAATACAGTGTACTTCTCATTCCCACCCAGGCTTTTCCCATGACTTTACTCTACAATTAACCTAATGCAATTTTACAATTTGTAATACAGTCAAGAACCACAACAGTGGCTCAGTGGTAGAGCACTTGCCTAGCACAAGTGAGGCACTGGGTTTGACCCTCAGCACCGCATAAAAGTAAGAGAATAAAATAAAAGAGTATTGTGTTCATGAAAGAAAGAAAGAAGGAAGGGAGGGAGGGAGGGAACCAATCTTTTCTGAACTGAAATTTGCTGTCAGGTCCTGCAGTTCTCAGCTGCAATCCATCTGGGTTCCATGTTGCAGGGTCTTCTTTTATTCTTGAAAAGTGTGGACCTGGGATACACATGAAGGTTCTCGGTTAGGTACCATTGCAGAATCAGAGGTTGTGGGCTGAAGACACCAGCCAGGGCTGTCCAAGGCTCAGGGCAGGAAGGGTTGAGCAGGGTCAGCTCATCCAGGTGTTGCTATTTGCATGCCTCTTGCCCAGCGGTGCTGAGGGTCAAACCCAGTGCCTCACTTGTGCTAGCACGAGGCCCCTTAGGCCATTGCCCTGGTTTTATTCATTTCCCTGCCCTGGTGCCTGCCCATCTTGCTCTATTGGCTGGGTTCTTTGTCTCCTCCAGCTCTGGGTTGCTGGGAGCCTTCTGCTTTCCTCTGCTCACTGGCTCTATGACTATCCTTTATTTCCTCAGCTGCTCACCCTGAGGACAGCCTGTGTTCTGGTCAACCATAAAGTGGAAACCATGTCTTCTAAGCCTCAAGACAGCTAGTCATGTGCAGTTAATAATACCCATTATTTGCCTCCATTGTGGAAAAATCAGTAGGCAGTTTGGGAAAGAAACATGTATCAATATTTCATTTTTTGTTACAGCTAAATAATATTCCATTGAAGGGATATACCACATTTTGTGTATCCAGTCTTAAGATGATAGATCTTTGGGGGTTTTGTTTTGTATTGTTTATTATGAATTTGAACATCCACGGACAAGTGTTTTTTTTTTAATATATATATTTTTAGTTGTGGATGAACCTTTATTTTTTATTTATTTATTTTTATGTGGTGCTGAGAATTGAACTCAGTGCCTCACACACACAACCGCAGCCCCATAGACAAGTTTTTGTGGAGATATATGCTTTTGGTTCTCCCCAGTAGATACCAAGGAGTGGAATTGATGGGTCAAATGTCAACTCTATGTTTAATATTGAGGAACTCCCTGAAATGTTTTCCAATGTTGTCACACTCTTTTACATTTCCCTTGGCAATGTATGAGAGTTCCAATTTCTGCCCATCTTTGCCAGCACTTATTGTTGTGCACATAGTATTTTAATTAGTCTTTCACTTAAATATTTACTCAATTTGGGCTAAAATTCCAATGCACCACCCACAAGTGGACGATGGGTTCAAAGAGGGCTCAGTCATTTATTCAACATCTATGAGGTTTGTTAATAGGATCTACTGCCCTGGAGGGCTCACAATCCAGGGGAGGTAGATGCGCAATTGCCATTATAGATTGCTCACCTACTGGGCTGGGACCTGAGGCTTCTTTGGAACCTAAAGGAGGAGCTACACAGGAAAGGGTCCTTGGGGGTGGTGACACTTGAGTTCAGTCCAGAAGAAAGAAAAGGAGAGAGAGAGGCAGAGTAGAGAGTTGGTTGGGGAGAAGGAAGTTCAGGAAGAGAGACCAACACCTGCCTAGGAGGTTCAAGAGTTCTGGGGCTTTGAAGGACGGGGCCGCCCAGAGCTTCTAAAGGCTGGAGGGACAGCGTGGCATTGGGATGGTGGTCCGGAAAAGACCTTGGGAAGGTAAACAACAATGTAATGGACCTAGTAGTCCGTGCCAGGTGTTTTAACTTTCTCCTCAACTCGTGGCGCCATGGGTGGATTCTGAGAAGGGAGCCATATAGTCGGGTTCTCTTGGGGGACCCCCATGGCTGCAGAGTGGGGAACAGTAACTAGAAGGATTGAGACAAGGCACGGAGGATAAAGCTCTGCCTCGACTTTGATGAAGGCCTGGCATTGGCCTAGTTTGGGAATTGCTCCTGGGGTTGTCCTGTGTCACCCCCTCAGAGGAGGCTGATCCACAAGGGAAGTCAAGGGCAGCCAGAAAGCCCTCGTGAGAGGCTGGTACAAGGTGGCCCAGAGCCTCGGCCAGCTCCGAATGAGAAACCTGTCTCCGTTTGGGAGAAGGCTGCTCTGGCCTCTCACGCCCCCGCTGAGGCACAGTCTGCCCTGAGTTACAAGGGCTGGGGCAGTCACAGCCCATCTGACTTCCTGCTTCATCCCATCTACCTTTCCACACGGGGCCCCTGGCCTCTCCCGGGAGGAGAAGCCGGCTTTTCCGCTTCGCCCTGTGGCCTCCTCTGTGTGTAGGAAGCCCTTTGCCTCCCTGGGGCCTGCGTCCCCATCAACAAGGTCGGGTTGTGGTAGGGGCCCAGACCCAAGACGGTGCAGCAGACCCCACGGCAGCTTTCAGTCTTCTTTACGATAATTAAAATCATCTTATAAAAACATTTTAAACATAATTACTAGCATTTGTGCACTTTATTAGTTTACACATTCGTTTTTAAATACCTCAGGGGGAAAAAATCCTCTAAGTACATAATCAGTAGCCAATTTCCACATGGCAATCATTGAGCAAATATTGAGTGGTTCAACATTTTTTCAGAAGTCTTTTTTGCCTTTCTTGTTTCATCTTTTTTTTTTAATATTGATTTTTTAGTTCTCGGCGGACACAACATCTTAGTATATGGTGCTGAGGATCGAACCCGGGCCGCACACATGCCAGGCGAGCGCGCTACCGCTTAAGCCACATCCCCAGCCCTCTTGTTTCATTCTTATAACTGAAATTTAACACCAATCTTTTGTGTCAAACTCAGTGGGTTTTCACATATTGCATCCAAATCAACATAAAATCATCCCAGAAGTTTCCCTCCTGTTCCTTTGCACTCACCCCCCCGACCCCCAAACACACCAAGAGGTTTCCTGTCTTCTACCCTTCATCACCATAGACAGGTTGTGCTTGTTCATGGGATTTGAATCACCCAGTGTATGTACGCTATTGCCTCTGGCTCCTTTTGTTCAACATTTCTGTGAGAGTCATATGTGTTCTTGCACGTATCTACCAACACTTGTTCTTTTTCATTGCTATATAGTATGATGTTATATGAAGATACCTGGTTTCCTGTTAATGAACACTTGGGCTCTTTCCAATCTTTAGCTATTATATTTTAAACTGGTGTGAATATTCTAGTATAGTCTTTTGGTGGCCATCTGCACTCATTACTCCCAGAAATTAAATTACTAGGTCATAAGTAAGCATGTGCTTGGTTTTGTAAATGTTACTGAGCAATTGCCCAAAGTTGTTGAGCCATTTTTCACTCCCATCAATGCATTGGTAAAGTTTATTTGATTTATTTATGTATTTGTTTGTTTTTGGTACTAGGGATTGAACTCAGAGGCATTTAACCACTGAGCCACATCCCCAATCCTTTTTTGTATTTTATTTAGAGACAGGATCTCTCTGAGTGGCTTAGGGCCTTGCTAAGTTGCTAAGGCTGACTTTGATCTAGGGATCCTCCTGCCTTAGCCTCCTGAGCCCCTGGGATTACAGGCAGGTGCCACCACACCCAGCTTGTAAAGTTTATTGACATTAGAATCAAGAAAAATACATAATACAACGCCTCAAACCTAACTTTATTTTTCCCCTTTTACTGGAGCTTTAACCCCGGGGTGCCTGACCACTGAGCCATATCCTCAGCCATTTTTTATTTTGAGACAGGTTCTCATGAAGTTGCCAGGCTGTTCTAGAACTTGTAGTTCTTCTTCCTCAGGCTCACAAATCTAACTTTCAATCACTTTTTTTTTTTAACATTTTTTCCAATTAATTACCTTGTAATCCCTCCCTTTTTTTTAATAGAGAAATCATAATCCATCTTTCTTCTTTTCTTCCTCCCTTCTTTTTTTTTTTTTTAATTCAGTGCTGGGGATGGAACCCAGGGCCTCATACCTGCTCCACCACTGAGCTACACCCCAGCCCTCACACTTTTAAGTAACTGCACTGTTCATTGCTGTTTAGTGTGTCCACACAGGTGTACAACCACCACCATCGTCTAATTCAGCACATTTTCATCTTCCCCCCAAGAAATGCCAGTTCCTCTCCCAAGTCCCTGGCAACCACTAATCTAGTTTCCTTCTCTATGGATTTGCCTGTTCTGGACATTTCATATAGATGGTTAAATTTTTAATATATCAATTTCTATGACATTTTTTTTTCCCCCTAGGATCCTAAACACTTCAAGTCAGAAAAGACAGGACGGGGACAGTTAAGGGAAGGCTGGAGAGATAGTCATCAGCCCATCATGTGCTCCTACAAGCTGGTGACCGTGAAGTTCGAGGTCTGGGGGCTTCAGACCAGAGTAGAACAATTTGTGCACAAGGTAAGTGATGCAGCAGCAGTCCCTAGGCTGTGGGCGGGGTTGCTGCGGCCCTGACCCTCAGGTCAGAGTGTGCACTGTGCAACCACTGCCGAGTGCCAGCCAGGGCAGGCACCTGCCTGGCGTTTTATATATGGTTTGATTTTTTTTCCCCCACTGCTAGAAGTAGCTGCTTTATGCTTTGGCTCTCATTTTGCGGCCTCTATGTCCATTGGATGAGTTTATTTGGGAAATGGAGCTTTCAAAATGTACTTGTCACTTTGGGCTAATCTACTTACAAGCAGAGGCCCTTGGGAAGGGGCCCCGGGGCTTTTCTGTGTCCACAGGTCCTGAGGGTAATTCTACTCAGAAGATCTTGCAAAAGTAGGTGCCCGAGGCAGACAATGCCTCAAGAGACCAGATGAGCCACCCCAGTGCTCCCATTGGACGGCACACCTCAGCACTGCCGCTTACTGAAGAATTCTGTTACTGAAGTATTATTAACAACCTCAAAACACAGATTTCAATTGTATACTCACCTTGGCTTAACATATTAATTTTGTAGCAGAAACCTACTTGGTGATGATTTCAGTTTTCTCCTGGTTTCTAACGTGAGGTTTTTCTGCCTGGGAAAAACTCATAGGAAATGCAGTGTTGAACATTGCCCTTTGTAACTTCTCCCATTTTCATAAAAATAAATACTCCCCAAGTTGTCTCTGTATTTCAGATAGGCTGGCTATTTATTTTTCCAGTTAAAAACTGATAAATACAGCTTTACAGAATCCTGTTGGGGGCACTGGAATTTTTCCCTAAATGTACTGAGCTTGTTTCTTAGATGGATTTTTCTACTGAGGGGGGAGCCAATTGACAAGAGAAAGTTTGTTTTTGGTTTTAGTTTTATAGTACTGGGGATTGAACCCAGGGACACTCTACCACTGAACTACATCCGTAGCTCTTTGTGTTTTTTATGTTGAGACAGGGCATTGCTAAATTGCTTAGGGCCTCATTAAGTTGCTGAGGCTAGCATTGAACTTGTGATCCTCCTTCCTCAGCCTCCCAAATCACGGGGATTACAAGCATGTGCCACTGTGCCTGGCCTCTGGTAGATTTTTAACCCAAAATGATCTCCTCTTACTAGGGGACTGTTATCATCGTGCATTTTATTTCCTTTTGCCATGAATGTTTAGATCCTACCAGGGCTCATGCATTTCTTTTCTCACAGATGACTGGCCAGTTTTGAGAATCTGTGATTTTTTAAAATCCTATAAAAGGAGCTGGGGATGCAACTTGGTGGAAAGAGCACTCCCTTCACATGTGTGAGGCCCTGGGTTCCATCCCCAGCACCCATAAAAGCAAATAAATAAATAAATAAATTTAAAAATTAAAAACCTATAAGGACACTGCTTTATTTACAGGCATTCCATTGTCCATTTCCAAATAAAATGCAGTGTCCAGGGTGCATCCAAAACACACCTGCTCTGGTGCATGAGTTGCTAATGAGTATCTGAGGTAGCATTTGCATGGGCTTAAGCATCAGGATGCTTTTCTCTGAACACCTTTGTTTTTGCTTTTTTTTTTTTCCCCTAGACTCTATTCACAGTTAAGGGTGGGGGGATGTTCAAAAGCAAGCCATTAGCACATTATTGAATTCTCATTTCCATCCAACAGCTGTGTTGTGCTAAATGTAATAGGGTATATTTACTAGTGCCTCCATGCTGTTCTTTTGATTTCCACGAATTTTACACACTCAGCACTCAGTGTGTGCATGGCTGGGTGTTGTTTCTTATGGTCCTTATGTGTTTCCTATTTCCAAGTCATAAAAGCCCCACTAGATCTCTAGAGGCCTGGGGGAATAAACACTTTGTTATAAATGCTTCCCTTATTTCTTCAAATTCACCAAACTAAAATCCTTCATTTATTAAAACACGCATGAACCTCCTA